CCCCCCCCCCCCCCCCCCCCCCCCCCCCCCCCGCACAGATTGCGCCGTGTGCACGGCCGGTTTCTCCCGGGGATACTTCCACTCGTGCAAGTCCTGCATGGGGGATAGCCGTCGGAGGGCGTTCTACGTAGTCTCCACGGTAGGCGCGCTGGTGCTTCTGGCGGTCGTTTTCCTGGCGGCCAAGCTGGTTTCGGTGGTGGAGATGACGCCTTCGCGCAAGGCCCCGAGCCGCTGGCAGCGGAAACGGTCAGTGTGGCGGGCGCGCATAAAGAAGATTCTGCCGCTTACGGCGATCAAGATCGTGGTTGTCGTTTGGCAGATCGTCACGCAGGTGTGTTCGTCAGTGCTAACCGGTGATAAGACGTGTGGCTGAGGACGAGAAAGGGTTCTGCAGGCAGTGACCTGTGTGGGACCCCGTAAGGGCGCCATGAGGGGGAAGCTAAGGTTTCTATCCTGGTTCAATAGACGACAACGGTAGCAAAAAAAATCGTGTTTGCCGGAAAGATGTTTATCGCTGGCAAGTCGATCATGGGACTGTGCGAGTGTAGCAAGTAGACGAAGGCGAGCACGCCTGTTTACGGCACGCTGGCTGCGGCAGCGGGGGGAGGGCGGGTGCTCTGTGTCGCGGTGAGGGCTCGCCCGACTCATTGCTGTTGTTGTTGTTGTTGGGGTTGGGGTTGGAACCAGGGGTGCAGCATCCAATCCAGTACTCACCCGCTCCTTCAAGGGCAGGGCAGCGTGCTTTCGTGGCCGCGAGCTTTCCGCTGCACAAGTACCGTGTACCGTGTCAAAAGCAAGAGAGATGACATCCAGAACGATCCGGTCGCTTTGGATATGAACGAGCTACCCAGATATACGAGAAGGGCACAAGATAAGCCCCTGTTTTCGCTCGCGAAGGTTCGCAGGGATAAATAACGGTATTCCCCTCCCCGTCCGTCCTCTCGAAGACGCATGGTCAATGATCTAACCGCTTAGCCATCCAAAACATGAGTACTATGCTCGGTCCTTTTGAGGACATGTAGTCAATGGTCTAACCGCTTAGCTATGCACAACATCAATACCACCCCCCCCGCCTCCTGCCTTGCAACTCCAGTACTCCGACGTGGCCGGCGTCGAGTACCCGGGCGCGTACAAGGACTTCTTGTCGGTGATCGACGTCGTCAATCTCGACCTCGGCTTCATCCTCTCCCTGGCGTGCGTGTACGACACCGACTTCTACGACCGGCTGCTGCTGACAACGATATGCCCCGCGGTCGTGCTCGGCCTCCTGGGCTGCACTTACCTGGTGGCCCGTCGTCGTAACCGTCGCTCCCAACAGGTGCAGAACCGGCCCGCGCTTGAGAACTCGGTAGTCAAAAAACTTGAGCCTCAACATCACCGAAATGAAAAGACTTCCACCACAAGAACAGGTGCTCAGTCAAGGAGGCTACACAAAACCTATACAGTCAAGAATCCAACACTAACACCCTTATAGTCACACTTACACGTATATAGTCAAGAAGCCTGCACTTAAGCCTATATTGTCACACACTGCAACCTATACAGTCAAGAATCCAACACTAACACCCTTATAGTCACACTTACACGTATATAGTCAAGAAGCCTGCACTTAAGCCTATATTGTCACACACTGCAACCTATACAGTCAAGAATCCAACACTAACACCCTTATAGTCACACTTACACGTATATAGTCAAGAAGCCTGCACTTAAGCCTATATTGTCACACACTGCAACCTATACAGTCAAGAATCCAACACTAACACCCTTATAGTCACACTTACACGTATATAGTCAAGAAGCCTGCACTTAAGCCTATATTGTCACACACTGCAACCTATACAGTCAAGAATCCAACACTAACACCCTTATAGTCACACTTACACGTATATAGTCAAGAAGCCTGCACTTAAGCCTATATTGTCACACACTGCAACCTATACAGTCAAGAATCCAACACTAACACCCTTATAGTCACACTTACACGTATATAGTCAAGAAGCCTGCACTTAAGCCTATATTGTCACACACTGCAACCTATACAGTCAAGAATCCAACACTAACACCCTTATAGTCACACTTACACGTATATAGTCAAGAAGCCTGCACTTAAGCCTATATTGTCACACACTGCAACCTATACAGTCAAGAATCCAACACTAACACCCTTATAGTCACACTTACACGTATATAGTCAAGAAGCCTGCACTTAAGCCTATATTGTCACACACTGCAACCTATACAGTCAAGAATCCAACACTAACACCCTTATAGTCACACTTACACGTATATAGTCAAGAAGCCTGCACTAAAGCCTATATTGTCACACACTGCAACCTATACAGTCAATAATCCAACACTAACACCCTTATAGTCACACTAACATGTATATAGTCAAGAAGCCTGCACTTAAGCCTATATTGTCACACACTGCAACCTATACAGTCAATAATCCAACACTAACACCCTTATAGTCACACTAACATGTATATAGTCAAGAAGCCTGCACTTAAGCCTATATTGTCACACACTGCAACCTATATAGTCAAGGAGCCGGCACTAAAATCTATGTAGTCGCCGTGGGGGTAGTCTACCCCATCGGCAAAACAAGACACTACCCTCGGCCAACACAGCAAGTTCTCAAGTGGTGGCCCTACCTGTTCATGGGAGGCTGTTGGGCCACGGCCGGGTTTAGAGGGGACAATGACCAAACCAGCTGGGCTCGCTTGACGTTGTTGAATGGCATAATGGTACTCAGCAATGTAAGTCGCCTTTCGACCAGGATGTATGTACCCTGTTGTGTCTTGTACCGAACAGTTTGTTCGGCGTGATTTCCGTCGGCTTTTCCCTCGCCAGCAGGTGTGTGCCAGGCGGTGCATGTTTTTGGGGATTGAAGACACCTCAGTGGTGTACCCTAGGTCTTGCATGACGTACGATATCACACTCCCTAGACCGATTGTCAACTCCCGATTGACTCTGCGGCGATAAAGCAGTTTGACGGTGCCGAAAAAAATGGCGGCGTTTGAACTATTTTCGTCGATTCCGACCACGTCTCATTTGGATCTCGCACCCCCTTCATCGTGGGGTAGTCGATCTTTAAAGATCGGTCCAGGGGGAGTGGTATCGTGCGTCATGTCACCTACGGGATACCGCTGGGGGTGTAGCCCGCCTGACACAGCCCGACATTCACCCGGCGTTAGTGTAGTTTTCTCTTTACGGAAACAGTCAAAACTAATTCTTCGCCGCGTGTTCCTCCCCCCCTAGTCCACTGCCCTCGTCTGCTGTCTCTACTCGGTCCGATACCAAGCGCTCTTAACTAATAATCGGATGCGCGGAACCTTGCGGCAGGCCATGGGCGTCGTCAAGCACCGCCACCTGTCGGTAGCCCTGTTCGTCATGTTCGTCATCTACGCCACCGTTTCCTACACCATCTTCGAGACCTTCGTTTGCGACCCCCTCGACGACGGCATTTCCTACCTCCGCGCCGACTACTCCTTGACCTGCGAAACGGAGACCCACACCGCGTACCGGGTCTACGCCGGGCTCATGATCCTGGTTTATCCCGTGGGAATCCCGTGTGTCTTTGGCTGGTGGCTGTTCAAGCACCGCCACGAGCTGAAGCAAGAGGGCCGCGAGAGAAGGGCTGCGTTGAAGCCGGCGGCGGACTTGTGGGAGCCTTACAAGCCTAGCACGTACTACTACGAGGTGGGATTTGTTTTTGCTCGCGGTTGAGCACTCCGTGTTCTTCGCGGACTGACCGCGCAAGAGACCCTTGCTTTGTTTTGGCCTTGCTTTGTTTCGAGTACTACTCCAGTTTTCCTCTAAGGCGGCTCAACCCCCACCGTATCTTGACAAACTCCCTCGACGCCTTTCCTCTCAATGTCTCCCTTGCCCCCCCGCGTCCGCCGATATGCCTCCCTCCGCCACACCCACCCTTGAGAAGGTGGTCGAGTGCTTTCGGCGTATCGCCCTCACCGGGTTCGCGGTGTTCATCTACCCGGACAGCTCGGCACAGGTGGCGATAGTCCTGCTCCTCGCTATCGTCTTCATGGTGGTGTCCGAGTTCCTCTCTCCGTTCGCCCGGCCCATCGAGATGTGGCTCTACCGGACCGGACACTATGTGGTGTTCGCGAGCATGTACCTCGCCTTACTGCTGCGGGTTGATGTCTCCGACGAGAACAACCAGAGCCAAGAGGTGAAGAGAAAAACGACGTCGCATGGGGGGGGTAGATAGATATGGCACGTTTTTTGCGCGCCAAGTCTTTTGACTAGAATAGACATATACCCCACGGTTTGCGCGTTACGTGTCTGGCTGGGGAGATAGATACAGCACGGTTTTGCACGTAAATTCTCTGGCTGCGCAGTTTAGGTTGTCGTCCAAGCCGGGGTCATGGTTGGATGCGAGCTGGCAAGGTGGTACAGGGCGCTCGATCGACAGCGGCCATCTTCTTTCTCGTCCAAGTATCTCCTACGCCTGCTTCGCTCGGACCCTCAACTCTTTGCATCCCCCGATAGTTCCAGCTTATACCTTTTGCCCCCTCCTTCTACTTTCTGCTGGCGCGTACACCCGAACGCCAACCGGACCGTCACTCACGTTTTTTTTTTTGTTCTAGGTTTTTTCCGGCGTCCTCGTTATTGCGCACGCAGCCATGCTCCTGGTGGTCGTCTTGCAGGGCCTCCTGATCTTCGCCGGCTGGGGGGACCTCGTGGCGACGCCCGGCGCCATCGCTAATCTCGACGACACAGCCTTCGTGTCGAAGCGGGGTGGCAGTTTCTCCGACGGCGATGTGGACGAGGCACAAGACGTCGGACGCTATCGGGGATACCTCAGGTACGGCAACAACGCCCCGGCTTGGGGCGGCAATACGCGCGGCTTTAGCGAGATCAACAATCCTCAGAGACTGCGCGAAAATAACCGTCCCAGTACGTATAGCGCGGGTGCCGCCGCAGAACGGGGCAAGAGATGGGAGATCTGGGAGAGGCCGTTGCCGAAGGCCAGGCACAGCTTCTTTCCGAGCCCGACGGGCACGAAGCGCCAGGTGGTGCCAGAGGCCGATACCGGCCGTAGCCGAGACGACTTATCTGTCCGAGGCGTTAAGGGCCACCCATCGCCAGGAGTGTCGCGGAGCTATTCTTGGACGTCTTCCACCGGAGGGGACGCTCCCCCGTCAACGGTGGCGCACCAAGCGGCGACGCGAAACACGGAGGCTGCGGGAGAAGAGGGTAAGATTGGGTCGCGAGCTAATCCGAAGAAGTGGGGCCACTCCCAGTCTTTCCCCGACCAGGACGCCCAGGTTAAGCAATCGCGTCCTCGCAGCGTCGGCTATCACGCGGCGGCTAAGAACGCCTTACTGCAAGGAGGGGACGCCGTCCAGGCAATGGGTGACCAGCGTCCCCGCACTGGCGGTAGCTCTAACGAGGGCGAGGGGAAGGGGCCTACCGCGGCGGACGAAGGATTAGCAACAGCCTATTGGGATGCCGGTTCGGTCCACACGCCGGTGGAAGCGAGCCACCACGACAGTACTAAGCCGAAAACGACGACGGCAGGGGCGAGCAGGCACAAGCGGTCCGTGAGCAGCGGCCACGGAGGCAGCGCCGACGTCTCCCATGTGTTGACGGAGTCCTCCTTCCCCTCCGTCGCCACCGTGGAGTACAATAAGGACAAGTGGGGCGCCGCCGCCGACACCCCGGGTACCGGCCGCGGAACCGCCGCCAGCCCCTCCACCGTATTCACACCCCTTGCCGCTAGAGGTCGCTCGTCCGACAGCAGCCCTGCCAGCGCCGCTACGCCTACCGGCACGGCTACGCCTACTGGCGCTAGGACAGCGGCCTCCACAGGGTACCGAAGGTCGGCCACCGTGGGAGCCGCGGGCGACCTCCCCGCTGCCCCCCGACTCCCGAAGGCGGCGGCGCTCAGGGGAAGTCGAACCCCGCAGGGCCGTGACGAGTGCCCGCCGACCTACGCCGACGCCTGCCTGCACTCGAAGCCGCGGAGCGGCGGCGGCCACAAGCCGTTCGGCAAGGGGTTGTGGTGGGACGAGATCGACACAACCGCGGCGTCGACCGGTCGCGGCGGCGTTGTTGCCGGTACCGGCGGCAAAGCGACAACGAGGTTTCGCCCGTCGCCCGCCAACACCACAGACCTCTCCCGCGATGACGGTGGTAGCACCGCTGCTACGGTAGTTGCTTCTGCTGCAGCTGCTTGTGCTGCGGGAGAAGTCACGACAAGGACGGTGTCCGGCGCCGTGACGTCGTACCACTCTCCGTGGCGGCGCCGACGGCACGCGCAGGTTGTCCTCAGCCCACTGAGTTCCACGATGTCGGGGAAGAGTTCGGCATGCGGCAACGGGGTTAACCCTACCAAACCGGCTGCGCACGGAAACGAATTCACGGCGGCGATGTCGAAGAGCGGGGCCGGGGAATCCGGTGGGGGGCGGAGAGAGACCCTCAAGCCCGAAACGAAGGAGAAATTTTCTACCGAGGGGCTGTTCGGGACGCCCGCTAGGGTCTCCCGGAAGCCGGCGACCGCGGACGATGCGCCCCCCGGCGGCGACGAGGGGACCGGCCGCGCGGCTCAGGTGTCGCCTTCGGAACCGGGGGTTCTAGACAACCTGGACAACGCACCCTCCTTCACAAGAGCCTTCAGGTCGCTGTCGAGCGGTACCCTTGAGTGGGAGTCGGGCAGGAGCTTCAGTGCCCTGGGCTGCGAAGCGAAGATCAGCTTTTTCCCGGAGGGTTTCTCGTCGGTGCGCTCGCCGGCCGGCCTGGTCGCCGCGTCTACCGCCCGCGGCGGCGGCAGCGGCAGTGGCTCCAATAGCCTCGGCAGCGGCGGTAGCGACGCGATTGGCTTCGTCGGCATCTCCAGCGAAGGGACCTTGCAAGAAGGCGGCCTTAATCGCGCGAGCCGCAGCGGTGCTGGCAGCGAAAAGAGCGAAGCAAGCCGCGGAGGTCTGCTGAAGCGCAGCAGGAAGGACGTCATCGCTCACTACATGAACGGGCTCCGGCGGGACCGCGTAGAGTCTTTCGAGCCGAGCGCTGAATTTTCCGGCCGTTCGAGAGGTCTGATGCGAAGCCCGTTGAGAATCAACCGCCTGCTGCAACCAGGGAAGCGGGAGATAAGACAGCGCGTGCCCAGGCTAAGGCATCAGCTGCGGCTCACCAGAGTCGCTGGGCGAGGCTCCCGACCTTCTGATTTTCGGTGTAGCTTGTCTTTGGTACAGTTTTCTGTGGACAGGCCTTGTTAGTGCGTGGCTTTACGTTATCCCCACGCGTCTTCTTGTCATGGGTGGAATGTTGAGAGTTTGTCGTCAGGGTTCTGTGCGGTTGTCGTTCACGCCTGGAGCCATCGAACGAAGCAAGGGAGCGTGAGTTTTTATCGCGGGGGTGCCATTGGACGAGCATTGGTCGTTTTTCTAGAGTGAGTTCGAAGGCGTAGCAGTAGCATGACGAGAGCTAGCGTGCCCGCTGCACGTGAAGCACGCACCCGTTGCCGTTACAGAGGAAGATCAAGTTTCCGCTAGCTCTGTTCCTGCCGTGCCAATAGCCGGTAGGCGCGCACGCCCCGAACGACGTTCGACCGCCAAGTTGGCAGGCAAGCCTGGAAATCACTTTTTTGTTTTTTTTTTCGGAGGTGTGTGTTAACAACGTGTTCTGTTTGTATGAAGTCATCATCTATGTCATGATGAGCTATTGAGATTTACTGGGTGGGTGGCCTTCACGCGTGGCACGAAGTGTGTTTCAGCTACGACAAAGTCGATCCTGCCGTTCCATGTCGTTAAGCGCATTTCATAACACGAATTGCAACTATTCCCTCCTCGTGGTACTCTACGGCATCACGAGTGGCTTGCTGCTATTCTCCGGTGAATGGAATCGTGTTCAGTATTGTCTAGTGCTTTTCTCTGGCAAATGGAAATGTGTTCAGTATAGTGCTATTCTCTGGCAAGTTGAAGTATGTTCAGTATTAAAGTGGTATCGCATGTGTGTGAGTGCAAGGAGTGGTCTGTTGGCGTTTAAGCCAAGATAACAGCAGTGACGGTATTTTTCGTTCCAGTTTGCAGGCGTTTCGGGGTCGTGTTCGTGTCTTGTTACTGTTCAGTCGATGCAATTTGTCTGTGTACTTGTCGGCTTATCCTCCCCACCCTTGATGATTGGCAGATAAACATTACTTTATCAGGGTCGTGTTGTTGGTGCTATCCGTGTCTGCGCAGACAGGTCATGTTGACGGGAGATTGCATGCCACCATCCGAGAAATCTAAGGACTGCTAACGCTGTAGATTGGCTCTTTTCAGACGTATGTTCGTGACGTGTGCATGCCTCGGAAGCATCCAGCTAGCCGTAGGAGGAGGTCCTTGGTTTTTCTGCACGAGTTTGTCTACCGCATCTGTCATCTTTAGCGTTGCCAACATGGGGAAACGCCATTCACGTGTGGTGGGTATGTTTTGTACAAATTGTCGCTTGGCGTGGATGTCATTTTGGTTTTAATGTGGTATATATACATAACTCAAGTGCATTTATGGGATGAACAAAAAAATAACCCCTCCAACGACGACGACAGCCGTGTAGTTCTTCGAAAGCGATTCAAGGGGTACGAAGGACGAAAACAGCGTAGACTATTTTTTGTACAAATTGTCGCTAGGTGGCACAGTGCCAATACCTCTGATTGTTAGGTGTGTCCGTGCCGAACCCTCGGGGGGAGGATAAGCGGGTCCTTCCTTACATGCATCCATCCGCAGCGAAAATGTAAGCGCCCGAAGCAGAGGCGAGGAAAACACTTCATCCGCGTGGAGAAAACAATCCGTGTAAATAGCTTTAGCTTGTGCATTACCTGTGGTTTTTGCGATGTGGTCTTCATGTCGGACACATCATGTGGATACTTCGAAGGGAGCGTGCGGGGAGTGAGTGTAAATGACTTGTTTTTGCTCTTGACAACGTGCTTGAGGCGCGCTGCTAGTGACTTTGATCTACCGGCACTCGCGGCGTTCGCCGTGCACCAGAACGAAGCTTTTTCGCCGACTATCGTGCTCATGCCGAAATCGGCCTGGTTTACCGCATGGCAGCGGAGGCACAGAGAGAGGTACTCAGTCAGGCATTTATTCAGCGCGCGAAAGACTGCCATTCCGGATAAGACATGCGCTCGCAATGAGTCCATGTCTACAATTGCAGTGCAGTTGCTCTTTGCCGCATCACATGATTCGATTATGTCTCTAATTGCAGCCATAAACCTTCACCACATTACAATACACCATCCAATTGTGTGTTCCCATGTACAATCTGTTGTAAGTAAGCACGATTACGTAGGAGGCAAACGTCACCCTCTGCCTAGAGCGCTATTGCTGTGGCGAAATCGAAGCTCCCTACAGTAGCTTCCCGTTCGACCTCGACAAGAATTTCAACGTGGAAGCCCCACGGCTACGTGCCGACAAGGGGACCTCCAACAAACAACCCCCCCCCCCCTTTTCACTTACCCAACCAACCGAAGTCACTCCCATCAGTCAAACAATACATCAACCATAAAGCATCAGTCCACGAAAAAAACGTAATAGGCTAGACTACTACTCATCAATCACAAAACGTCAAACGACAAATCAATAGGACACCTCACCTATGCATGCATGATGCCCTTGACGGCGACAAGCCGAATGCACAACGCAGAACAATTTCGCCCTTCCCCCTGATGTTCTCACCATCTGCGGAATCGCCAGGGAGAAGAATTCTTCGCCGGAGGAATCTAACAAATGCAAACCTCCACATAAACATCATAAAATGATATGTTTGCCCGCCCATAAAGAGCCGGCGGCTGACTCTCACAAGGCATGTGTTCTTTCCCTCTACGCCACCCCTGCCGCGTCACACTGATAACGGCTTGCTGACGTTCGCACAAAAGTTCAACACCAACCCATGTAATCCAAACATAAAATGTCTAGTTGTTACAAGCTACGTAGCCGTCGGCATTCTCCCTTCGTTTGAAAACATTTTCTGGGAAATAAGACGTCAGGGCAGCCTTTACGGTACCCACGAGAGTAACTTCGGTGGAAGGACAACCGCTGCGAAATGAACGCCCTGAGAACAATCCGTAACCAATCTTTCGTGACGGTTACATGGTTCGCGCGGGAAACACGGGGCACGGGGTGCAGTCATCGCAGTCTCCGCAACCGCGGCAGATCTGGCCCAGGCCGAAGTCTGCGGAGGGTAAAACGCGAAGCAAGGGCGGAAAAAAAGGTACGGCAAGGGGAAAAGGGAGCGGAGGTGAAGATGGGGTGCGATGATGCTATACTGAGCGTGACAGGATCATGCCCCTTGGAGGGCAGAATTAAAGTTGTTCTCCCAGCGAAGTATCGACGGAACTCGGGCGGCGGAACGAAGTACATGGCGATCGGATTGTTGTCTAACTTACACCGGTAAGTGGCGTATCCTACTATTCGCCGGGCCAGCCCAGTTTCTGGGCGGGATAGGGCAAAAAAAGTGCCCACCGATGTAAAGGGCGGTGCCACAGCAGAACACCTTCTGTACACGGAAAACCTTGCACGATATTACTCGCAAGGCATTCAGCGGTCGCCTGGCAAGGTACTTATGACCCCAGACCATTATCAACATTACAAAGCAGTTGTTTTCGGAAACGGATTGCTACCTTTCGACCTCACGTTTTCCAGGCACAATCATTGTAGCCCCATATAGTACTTTGTGTGAGAATATGGAAACGGAACGGGACCGGCTACAGAGACGACGAACACAGGCCTCGACGACGGGGGGCGATTACAGAGGAGGACTCACAGTTGCAGTGGGTGATGTCAGAGTTTCCGTCGACGCATCGGGGGTCGCAGATGACTTGCTTTCCACCGTCCGGGTAGGCGGCCAGAGACTCCATCTGGGCCTCGGTGAGATTCGAGCAGACGGAGCACTCATCGTCGTCGACAGCACCGTCGGCTCCGAGCGGCATCATCGTCGGCGAGGGAGTAGGCACTTCGGGCTCGGTCGTCTCGGCAACGGTCGGCGGTGTGGTCTCCGGCGTCTCGGGGGAGGGCGTCTGCTTCACAGGCTTAGCGGAAGGCGCCGGTGTCTCGGGCGTGACGGGGCTCGGAGTGGTAAGATCAAAGCCGAGGTCGGGCTCCATCGTCGGCGAGGGGGTAGTCGCTTTGGGCGCAGGGGTCTCGGCAATAGTTGGCGGTGCGGTCGCCGGCGTCTCGGGCGAGGGCGTGCGCTTCACCGCCTTAACGGAAGGCGCCGGTGTCTCTGGCGTGACGGGGCTCGGAGTGGTAAGATCAAAGCCGAGGTCGGGTATCATCGTCGGTGAGGATGTTGTTTCGGGCGCGGGGGTTGTCCCCGGGCAAGGCTCGCAGGAAGAGCAGTCGCCGCAGCCCCTGCAGATCTGTCCCAGGCCGAAGTCTGGGTGGAGGGGATGGAGATGGGGCGGTGAAATGTGGGCAAGGGAAGGTCTTCGTTAGACGGAGTGTTTTCTCCGAGGCGGTGACACCAAATACGATCGTGGCCGTGGCTCACACTAGCTGGCAGTGCTTCTCTTCTCTTGTGTGGAATATCACTATTTTTTCTTCCAACAGTGCTCGCTCGATAGCTTGTTCCCCGCAATACACCATCTGGCTCATCGCCGTGCGGTCTCTCACGCCCAAAAGCAACTCTAAGGATGATCATTAGCGGGCGGGAAGCATGCCTGTCTTCACATACATGGCACGCTTGGGAACATGAAACAGTCGCCAGTGGTGGCGAGGGCAACACGTTCCTCGGAGGTCAACGGGCCGAAGCCGAATCTTAAATATCCTTCCGAACCTCCGACTCACAGTTGCAGTGCAGAGGGTCGGTGACGCCGTCCAAGCAGGTGGGGTCGCACACCACCTGCTTCCCGCCGTTGTCGTAGCTGGCCAGAATCGCTACTTGCTCGTCTGTCAGGTTCGAGCAGACGGAGCACTCGTCGTCGTCGACAGCACCGTCGGCTCCGAGCGGCATCATCGTCGGCGAGGGAGTAGGCACTTCGGGCTCGGTCGTCTCGGCAACGGTCGGCGGTGTGGTCTCCGGCGTCTCGGGGGAGGGCGTCTGCTTCACAGGCTTAGCGGAAGGCGCCGGTGTCTCGGGCGTGACGGGGCTCGGAGTGGTAAGATCAAAGCCGAGGTCGGGCTCCATCGTCGGCGAGGGGGTAGTCGCTTTGGGCGCAGGGGTCT